CTCCTAGGATAGAGGCATCTGCTTCAAAATGGGTGATCCTTACAGCCTGAAAGGTGATGCCTCCTGGGCTGTTCTGGATGACCTGCCCCAAAGGAAGAAACCTCAGACTGGCTCTTTGCTTTTGGGGAAGAGAGTAAATAGGAGCCAGGAAGTGTCATGAAGTGTATCTGTAAGCCCAGTGGTATCCACAGATACCACATTGGGGTCCTTGGTTTTGGCAAGCTTCAGAGAGACCCCTAACAGCCCTTTCGGGGGCGGGCATGGTATTTTGCATTCATTTGGGAATAAGTGTGTGCTGGACAGATACAATGTGTGCAGTACATGAATATAATCCTTGCACAATAAAGCACAATGATACTAAATACGAATCTTCTGATGCACAATGAAATATTCCATCAAATTCTCTTTCCAAAGTAATTCTTTCCAACGAAGAATCCAGATATTGAAGACTTCATTCTGATAATCTTCCTCAAGAAAATTACTATTCTAAGTATTTCAAAGGCATCAAGTTCCAGAAAACCACTCTGTATTAATGCTGAGCTGGTCTAGTCTCAGTAATAAAGTTGTTACTGCAAACCTCTTTGAATACCCTGAGAGGGCAGTTCCTTCTACATTAGTAGTTTGAAGCTATACAGTTTTCTGGAACTTGATGCCTTTGAAATGGTGAATGATCCCATAACTATGATGGAAATTGCAGAGGCTATTAAGAAACAAAATATAAACAAAGCACCTGGACCAGATGGACTTCCAGCTGAATACTATAAAATATTTGAAGATGTTTTATTGTTCCCGTAATTTCATCTGTAATAAAAGAAACTGAAGTACCGAAATCTTGGACTGAAGCAACTATATCATTGATCCATAAGGAAGAGACAGATCTAAAGTATAGACCTATTTCTTTGCTGAATTTTTGGCTGCAAGGTTGAAAAAAATTCTAATAGACTTTATACATCAGGACCAGGCAGGTTTCCTACCTAAGAGACAATTAAAGAATAACGTGAGAACAGTCTTAAATATCTTAGAATATTATGAAACTCATCCAGAGAAGCAGAGGCTTTGATTTTTTTGGACACTGAAAATGCATTTGACAATGTCAGCTGGCAATTTATTATTCAACAGATGAAGATTATGGATTTCGGAACTAATTTTATAAGGGTGATTGAAGCTGTATATACAAAGCAGAAAGTGAGAGTATTAGTAAACAATGAACTGACAGATAATATATGGATTGAAAAAGGGACAAGACAAGATTGTCCAATATCTCCATTGCTGTTTGTACTAAGTTTGGAAGTTCTGACAAGAGCTATTAGGAAAGATACCCTTATTAAAGGGACATCAATAAGAGGAAATAAATATAAATTACAGGACTTTGTTGATGAATTGGTATTTATCTTAGAGGAACCAATGGATTCTATACAACAACTGGTGAATCTGATTAATGAATATGGGAAAATGGCAGGAATGAAAATAAACTTATCAGAAGACGAAAATGATTATGAAAAATATGACATTGAAACAAAGACTTGAAATAGCAGAGTTAACTGGATTTCAATTGAAGAAGAAAGTCAAATATCTGGGTATTAATATTATAGTTAAATGTAGTTTCCTGATTAAAGATAATTATAACAAAGTGTTGCAAGATATTAAAAAGGATTTAGAGAAATGGAAAAACTTGCAAGTATTACTAATGGGCAGAATAGCAATTTTGAAAATGAATGTTCTACCACAGATGATGTTTTTATTTCAGATGTTACCGATATACATTAAACCAACCTTCTTTGATGAATTGAATAAACTGACACAGCATTTTATATGGCAAGGAAAAAAGCCAAGAATTAAGTTGAAAGCCTTACAAGATACGAAAGATAATGGTGGATTTGAAGTACCAGACTGGAAGAATTATTAGCAGCAAGTTTAGTCTGGCTGAGAGAATGGATTCTACTTGAAGATCATAGGCTGCTGGCTCTAGAAGGACCCGATTTAAAACTGGGATGGCACTCCTTGTTATGGTATGGAAAAGCTTCTGGACATAAATATTTCAAAAATCATATGATAAGATCATTATTGACAACTTGGAAAAAAATTGTCCGCTGATAGACACTAAAATTCCAAGATGGGTGTCTCCAGTGGAAGCTTGTTCCCAACCAACTTTGAGCTCAAAACAAACCGTTACTAGATATGCAGAATTGTTAGATGATGAAAATAATTTAAAATCTCAGGAAGAATGAAAGAAAAATGAAATAAACTTAGACTGGTAGGCTAGAGTGCAAATTGAATCTAGATACAGTAAGGATAAGTGGACAGATGGATTTTATTTAGAATAATGTGCATTTGAAAAATTACTATGAACTTCAAGAGAGAAACTTATTAAGAAAATGTATGGTATGTTGATGCAATTGAAAATGCAGGACGAAATAGTTAAAGAATGTATGGTTAAGGTAAAGGTAAAGGTTCCTTTGCTCAAAAGCCAGTCGAGTCCGACTCTAGGGTTGTGGTGCTCATCTCCGTTTCAAAGCCGAAGAGCCAGCGCTGTCCGAAGACATTTCCGTGGTCATGACTAAGCACCAAGGTGCATGGAACGCTGTTACCTTCCCACTGAAGTGGTACCTATTTATCTACTTGCAATCTCTTGCTTTCGAACTGCTAGGTTGGCAGGAGCTGGAACTAGAGATGGGAGCTCACTCCATCATGCGGCAACTCGGGTCTCGAACTGCTGAACTCCTGACCTTCCACAGCCTGCAGTTCAGCATCTTAACCACTTGATGTAGGTCATAATATCGATCTGTCACTGTGAAGTAAAATATGGAAAGTGAATGTTGACTAGTGTTGTTACATTCAAAGACAACTTATATAAAACGTTTTGTAGATGGCATCTAACCCCAGATAGGTTGGCTAAAATGTATAAATATTTGAGCAATATATGTTGGAAATGTAACAACCATATTGGTTCATATTACCATATGTGGTGGACATGTAAAAAGGTTCATAAATTTTGGATTGAAGTGCATACTTTCTTACAGTCAATCTTGAATATCACAATAACTTTTGAGCCAGAAATATTTTTGATAAACTGTTGACCAGATGAATTAGATAAGAACCATAGATATTTCCTTTTACATGTTGTAACTGCTGACAATTTGCAATGGCATGGAGGACACCAAAGATTCCAGTGCTACATGTGTTGATACTGAAGATATGGAATGTGCTGAAAAGGACAAGTTGATAAACATATTAAAAGGAAAAATGGAAGAAAAATTTATGAGGCCTTGGAGGGCATTTTATGACTGGTTAGAACAATTACTGAGAGAGTATGTTTAAGTGAAGAATAAAGAATGATTAATGAAATAGTTGTTAAATTGTAATGAGAAGACTTGCATGCAAAATGTTAAATTAGAATTTTGCATATTTCTGTTCACTTTCTTTCTTCCCCTCTTTTCCCCTTTCCCCCTTTCTTTATATAAACTAATAATTCTTTTAAATGATAAAAAAGGATAGTAATTTTCTTGAGGAAGATTATCGAAACGAAGTCTTCAATATCCAGATTCTTCGTTGGAAAGAACTACTTTGGAAAGAGAATTTTATGGAATATTTCATTGTGTATCAGAAGATTCATATTTAGTATCATTGTGCTTTATTGTCCAAGGATTATATTCATTTACTGCACACATTGTATCTGTCCAATATATTAACATTGTTACTAGTTCTATTGTGTCCTGCTTCACAGATTTTCCCCATTGTGTTTAATACTATACTGCTGTGTGATCTCCTTTTTGTTTACCCAGATGCAAAGGAAGGCAGGGATCCTGTACATTTAAGACTCTTGTTGTATGCTGGCATGCTGTATTTGCTGGCAAATGCCCTTTTTATAATCTTTAAAAGTACAGGAATCTTCTTTATAATACCCCCCCTCTGGTAGCTGTATCCCTTCCAGAGTATTGTAATCCTGCTGAGAAATGTGTGTTATTCTGGGGCAAGGTGGGCAAGTTGGAATGATTCCAAGGTAACTGAAGTCATGAACAGGAGCCAGAAACAGCTATGGACAGCAGGCACTTAGCTGGAATGAAAGCAGCAGTATATGAATGGCAGTGTTCTAGGAAGGTGTGGGAAAAGCCTAATGCAGCCAGCTCTTTGGGGTGGGGGTGAGTTAGGCTGTCTGCCTCACATGGTCCATTGCTTAGAGGTCTTCTCATGATGAAGGATAGTCTGAGTCATCTGTCTGTGCTTGCTCCAGGGGGGGCGGGGGGGGGGGGGGGGGGGCAGAGGAGCAGAATGGGATCCTGGGAAAGGTCTGAAGGGTGTTGTGGCTAGTGCGCAGCAGAGGAGATGTTCGTTCAGTTTCCAGAGCGGGAGGGGAAGGAGCATGGAAGCAAGGGGCCCCAACACAGCGCTGTGGTTGACTGTGCTATGGAAGAATGTGCAAGGTCTGGTCCCTTCTGTCAGCCCTCTCTCCTGAACCTTCAGAGCCATCGGCACAAACAAAGATATTCTCCAAATAAAATTGACAGCTCAGTTCCTAGTCAAATGCGGACATACCTTCATTCCCAAGCTTTCCTTGAATGCCTGGTTATTTTCCTATCCTGTTTATTTTCCAAACAAATGCTGGACATTTGGAGGATGATAATTTCTGAGCTTGTGGGTAAAATATTTATCTATCTCAAGATTTGCTGTGATGATCAGTTATCTGACCAGCATCCTTATCCTTTTGCTCCCAGGTTTGTGAGAAGTGTTGCTTTCTGCTACTGTGGAGCTTCCAGACAGTGCAGCTCCCGTCAGCCTGTGTTTGCTTTCGTCAGACTGTAGTTTTTCCTCTCTGGCCTCGAGCATGAGGGGTTAACCACTGTCTAAAGTCATAGGGGATCAGCACAGGAACAGGGCGTTGCTGGTTATCTCAGTTGCCGTTTGGGTTGGAATGACGCCTCTCCCTATCCGGCCCAGGCAAGGGCTGCCCATTGGCTGGGACAAGACCTGACTCATTCCAGGAAGCGGCAGGCAGGCAGTAAGCTAGATTCAGGTGTCTACCCTGCTAAACTGCTCTACCTTTGAACAGACAGCCGGCAGCAGTCCTCGGTCTCTTGGTGCTGTGGGCAGCATGGTGCTTAGAATGGAGAACGGTGAGCTTGTCTGTGGGGGGAACCTCCATGCTTCCTCACTGGGGCAAGGAGGGAATCTTGAAACCTTTGTTTGCCTAGGGTGGTAGGGATGCTAAGGTCTATCCTGGTACTGTACAGAGGACTGCTTCTTTTGAAGGGATTACCCCATATCCCATGCCGTGCGCGTGTGTGTTGTAGTCCTACCACTAACAATGCCCCTTTTGGTAGAAAAGTGCTTTGAGACTCTGACTAGTATGTGTTCCGTTTTCCCACTGTGCTTTCCTGGCTGGGAATGGGGGGGGGTGTGTGGCTTTTCAGAGCTGCTGCACAAAAATGGGAGAGGGGGTGTTACAACTTAAATACGGCAGACAGGACTGCCAACTGATCCCATGGATATAGCTGTGGCTTAGATTATGAGGGATCGTAAGTGAATGGAAGCACCCTTCTCCAGCATGTGTGGGATGAGCCAAGACTTTCACTTTGCCTGAAGGGTGGGAGTTTCTGTTGGCAGCTCTTGAGCTGCATGCTCTGGCGTGTCTCTGGTACAAGACACTGCCTGCCTGTTCTGGTTACACCTCCGGCATCAAGAGGCTGCTGGGCGTTGAGCAGTTGGGCAAGTGAAGCATAAGTTTGGGGGCTGGACTTCTGCTTCTTTAACCCCACATCTTGTGTGCACAGGGTGATGATGTGACTGCCGCACAAGCATATCAAGAAATCTTGAAAGTTAACACTGTAGGAATCTAGTGTAGTAACCAACATTTTGCAGACTGCACAGTGGTGGGGGAAACCTTGGGAGATACCATGAGCCTTGGAAATAGATACTGTGCAAACCTGGAGCCCCACAAAATTCTGACCTGCAGATCAGAGTGAGTGACAATGTGGCAAATGAAGTTCAGTGTTGGTAAGTGTAACATGATGCACACTGGGACAAAAAAATCCCAACTTCCAAGTATAGGCTAAGGGGGTCTAAACTTGCTGAGACTGAGAGGGAAAAAGATCCTGGGGTCTTACTGGATAGCTCTATGAAAGTGTCAATCCAGTGTGCTGCAGCAGTGAAAAAGGCAAACTGTGTTGGGGATTATTAGGAAAGGGGTCGAAAATAAAAAGGCCAATATTGTAATGCCCCTGTATAGATCTATGGTGCGGCCTCATTTGGAATACTGTGTACAGCTCTGGTCATATCTCGGAAAGGACACTGCAGAGCTGGAAAAAGTACAGAGGAGGGCAACTAAGATGAGTAAGGGGTTGAAGCACCTTCTTTATGAGGAAAGGCTGAAGAGTCTGGGATTTTCAGTTTAGAAAGGAGACGACTAGGGGGGGGGCCGCATGATAGAGGTTTGTAAGATTATGCCTGAATTGAAGAGAGTTGACAAGGAGACATTTTTCTCCCTCTCCCAAAAGACTAGAACTCAAGGACATCCAATGAAGCTGATGGGCAGTAGGTTCAGGACAGACAAAATGAAGTTATTACTTTACACAGAGACTGATTAAAATGTGGAATTTGCTGCCAGTGGATGTAGTGATGGCCCCAGGAATAAACCGATTTAAATGGGGATTAGATAGATTCATGGAGGATAAGTCTGTCAATGGCTACTAGCCATGGTGACTGAGGGGAACTTCAACATTCAGGGGCACTAAACCTCTGAATCCCAGAGCCAGGAGGCAACATCAGGGGAAGGCCTCAGCCTGTATGCCCTTTTGTTGGCTCTCCAGAGGAACTGGTTGGCCACTGTGTGAGACAGGATGCTGGACTAGATGGACCATCAGTCTGATCTAGCAGGGCTCTTCTTATGTTTTAGAGCAAGCCTGGAAGTTCCTTGATAGCCTGTCCCTAGGATTGCTTTGTTGCCACACTGTTGGCATTCCACAGCCTTGGTCTTGAGGTTTGCTTCCTATCCAGTGAGCCAATTTGGTGTAGTGGTTAAGTGCGCGGACTCTAATCTGGGAGAACCGGGTTTGATTCCCCACTCCTCCACTTGCACCTGCTGATGTGACCTTGGGTCAGTCACAAGCTCTGGCACAGGTGTCCTTGAAAAAGAGCAGTTTGTGTCAGAGTTCTCTCAGCCCCACCCACCTCACAGGGTGTCTGTTGTGGGGAGGGGAAGGGAAAGGAGTTTGTAAGCCGCTCTGAGACTCCAAGTGAAGGGCGGGATATAAATCCAATCTCTTCTCTTCTCCTCTTCTATCCCAGACTGCCGCCCCCCCTTGTGTATCTCATTCTGGATTTTGAGGGCATCATATAAAGACTTCTTTGACTGATTGCTACATATAACCATTGTTTGCACACTGGTTCTTCAAGGGGGGATGCATTTACTTCTCAGTGTCTGTGATCTAGAGTGCAGTTTAGTGAGGTGTGCCTCTGTCTATCTGCCCAATGTGGTGTCTGAATACAGGGCCATTTCTCTCTGCTTCACTCTAAACAGCTCCACAACCTGTACTGGAGACAACTGGGACTTGTCTTGCTGGGCAAAACCAATCAGCCCTTCATGTTTAGATATACTTTGTTACTTTCCTATAGTGATGGGTGGGAAAATTTTCTGATGCTATATCTTTTCATGGAAAATTTTCAAGCCTCATGTATGTCTGTTTATCGATAGTTGTTGGGGCTGTTGTGCTGCATATTAGGGGTGTGAGAAAAATAATCTGTATTTTTCAGGTTCAGGTATATTGAAACCTCAAAATAGCTATATTTTCCAATATTCCTGAATCCCAATACTGGCATGGTATTCAGATTCGGGATTTTTCAGAAACCCCATTCCCCCCCTCTGGCTCCATTATACCCTATGCGGACCATTATAGTCAATGGTCCCCATAGGATATAATGGAGAATCAATCTGGGGGTCTAGCGGGGTCTTTTTTTTTTAGATAGAGGCACCAATTTTTCAGCATAGCTGCTGGTGCCTCTACCTCAGAAACCTCCCCAAGTTTCAAAAAGATTGGACCATGGGGTCCAATTCTTTGAGCCACCAAAGAAGGTGCCCCCATCCTCCATTGGTTTCAATGGAAGGGGGAAGGCATTTAAAGGTAATGTGGTCCCTTTAAATGCCTTTTGCAAGCCACATGTGAACTCCGAAGGTGTTTAAAGGGTTTGCAATCCCTTTATACATCTTCTCCAAGCCATGAGATCGCCCTGAAGGTGTTCAAAGGGACCGCAGTCCTTTTAAACACTCTTTAACTTCAGCTATGCAGTGGTCCCAAAAAATCCCAAATATTTTCAGGATACTTGGGACTCGGCTGTTTTGGATAGCTGAAAAAATAATGAGATCTATATCTGGCTGAAAGAACAGCTGGAAAATGCCAATAAGATATTTTTCGGGAGGGGGGGTGGCTCGGATATAGCCGAATGCACACTCCTAAAATTAATCATGTTAGGTGGGCTAAATGTGGGTTATGAATTATGGACAGACCTCAGTGCTTATACATGGTCCAGGCTTGTATGTGTACATTTGTCATCTTTCCTAACAGTATTTTAAAAAAATTATTTTCTGGGAGGGGAATCAGTTCAGATTTTCCTGGGAAACCCATATTGCTGCTTCCATACATGCCTGTTGATGTGTGATGAGTTTTTGCTTACCTGCATTTGGAGCCTATCTTGTTTTCTGCCTTGCAGTTCCTATCCTGACCCACATTCTGTGCAGAGTATGGGATACTGACACCATCAAGACCCGTCTGTATAGGGAAAACAGAACAAGTGTCTAGGGTTCAGCAGTAAGCACCTCTTGGATTTCCCAACAGTGCTGCATTTGTATTCCTCTGTAGTGATCCCTAGGTGCCGAATTTGGCTCCCTAAAGTCAAGGCAGCTTGAGAAGGAGCTTGTTTGCTTCAGTTGATCCACCCTTGAAAGAACAAACATAATGCAGATTATTGTATAACAAGCACAGACTTTTGTTAGAATGGGCATGATGTTTGTAAGACTGGGCCATTAATTAGTTGCATTGTCTAGAAGCTGATAGCACAGATCCAGCCTTACTCTCTGAGCTCCTGCCACTGCGGTCCCTGGTGCCTACCAATGTTCTTCCTGATGCCCACAGTTTTGGGCTAAAGTCAGAATGTCTTGAACAGGAAATAAAATTACAAAACATGGAGTTCAGGGCTGTTCCTTAACACAGCTGACTGGGTGGTGAAAGCTGAGCTGATCCAAGGCAGATGTGTCACAACTAACACAGCCATATTTTCTCATTTTATGTTTCTGGGTTTGGGAACGTCTCCTTATGGGGTATGTAGAAAGTATACCATCCCCTTTCTTCGGAAACTAAAACCAAACAGCATCTTTGCCCTGCAGCAAGCAATTGATCTTTGCTTTCCACAGTCTCTTGTTTCAGAAGGTGCTTCAGACGAACTTTTGCATTCATGGGGAACGTCCATTCAGACAGTTTCCTCCACTGTAGGACAGCTCGCTTGGAACTTTCCAGTATTTTGTGATTAGCTGTGCTGTGACAGCCATTTTGCATTGGCCCCATTACTCTCTTTCCAGCTTCTTTAAAAGTTCTTACAGGCTCAACAATGTTAGGGACCCTTACGAATGCTAACTTTTCACACTGTAATCTGTATGAGTTTGCCTTGGGACTGCCTGGTAGAACCAGTTGCATCAGATGTCTTCTACAAATTTATTTATTTATTTGTTTGTTTCACTTTTACCCCGCCCTCCCCGCTAGGCAGGCTCAGGGTGGCTTCCAAGAACTGACAAGCAGTATGCATTCATAATAGATTATAAAACATCAATTAAAACACAGTAATCAATATAAAACATTCATTAAATTGCCTTTTTATGTGGCTTATGACTCAGTCCTGTGTGTTCCTTGCAACCCTTGTCTAGTATTTGGTGTGGCAAGTGGAGACTAGCACACTTTTGAGCTGCTGGGGTTTGTGTATTTTGATGTGGGGGGCAGGGAGTTGAATGCCACCTGGACTGGATGAAGGGAAACCAGCCCCGTAGCTACACAAAGCTGCTTACTGTTCAATTATCTTTCTGTGTAACTAGAAATGAAAGCAGTTCTCTGGCTAGCATGTAGTGCTGCAT